GGAGCTGAACAGAAAAAAAAAGCAGAGTATGTTTTCAGTGTTTCTCCAGGTCAGCTGGTTTAATGTCAGTGTTTCTGTAACTGTCCATGAGATCAAGAATAACATTGATTTGGCTCTGATAGACATCATAACCTCAATTAGCTGCAGTTTGTCAGGACTAAGTGTTGAACACAATCCAGAATATACAGTGAGATGCTCTAGTTTATATAACAGTTTGAGTCTGTCTCAGGATTTTAACAACAAAGTCAACCATGTGCACGTTTAGTGCTAGCCTGGCTGGGCCATCCAGTTGCCAATTGGGAGCGTGTATTAGAAATCAGAAAATAACCGGGCCAATCAGTGACTTTGTTTCCACAGTTCCCCTGACAACAGTGAAAGGCAGCCCCTGATTGGTCCATGTGTAGATGGTGACGTCTAACACATGCTGCGGGACTTTTCAAAGTGCCGTTCATTCAAAACCCCGTTAATTCTGCAGTTGACTTTGCAAAGTCAGCAGAAATCGCTTATATCCACAGAAGAAGACGTAAAAGACATTGTTTGCTCGCACACGTTGAAATATTACCAAACCTTTACTTGATGCTTGAGAGCCCAGCAGGGGACACAGTTGCGCACTATGATGACGTCAGATGTTTGGTTACGGTGATTGGTTACAGTAGTCTGTCTATCAAGTACTTCCGCCCACTTTTAGGGCTCCCTATTGGCCGAAGTCCAGACTGTTGTGGGAAGGAACGGCAAGTGATTCACGCAACTGGATGGCCCAGCCAGGCTAGTTTAGTGCAGCTCTTTCTATGTTTGTGAGACACTGTTTTTTAGAGCATAAATATTTAGGCGGTCCTCCTGTTTGATGATTTACTCTCCGTTCAATAAAGTCAACAGTGTGCAGCTTCTGTGTGACTGTTTTCTAGAGCCATCTGTTTCCATCAGACTGAGTTTAAAATCCTGTAAATTAGAGGATGAGCTCAGTTTTGGTCGGGTACATATTTGCTAGTTGACCCTACCTCAGCTGATCGTCAGAATTTTGTCTCTGGATCAACTTGTCTTTGTAAAAAGGTGGACAGTCCTGCAGCAGTGAAGGTGTCTCTGTGTCCTGGTCTCACTCTGCCCTCTAGTGGACACTTACAGTCACTACAGTGTTTTAAATGAACACAGACTCATCAGTTTAATGCTCAGATTCTGGTGATGTTACACGATCACAGACAAAGACAAACAGGATTTAATCTGATGTCTCTAATCCAAATAGATTATTAGAGTCCTTAGACTGCAAAGACATGAACTAAACTGTTATTTTACTGAAGGTCCACAAGACCAGGTTCGTCAGGTTCACCTGTTCAATCAGACATGTGATCAAGACACAGACATGTCAGACTCTGTTTCTTTAAATCAGTGAATTAAGAGGATTTCTATCTTGTTTTAAACTCTGGAGGAGAGCACATCCTACTCAAAATCTTTTATTGAGTTAATATTAAAGTCTCTGTGTCTGAATCAGTGAGAAACACAAAGATCTGACATCTTTAAATTCAGGTCTAAAAGCTGACAAAAATAACAATAATTAAAACACACAGTGTGTGAAATAGCGTCATCATCAGACGTTGTAAAATGAGGCCCTCTGATTGGCTGTCAGAGACAGGAAGAGTGTCCTCTGTTTCTCTTGGAAAGAAGCGCGCTCTCAGAAACATCTGCAGCTCTTCTATTTTTATCCTCTTGTTTGTGCTCTGGTTACGTCAGGATGCAGTGAAGCTGTGTGAGAGGAGGACGACCTGGAGGAGAAAGCTGCTGCTACCCACAAAGACCAGCTCATTCAGGATCTGAGATGTCCAGTCCCTGATTCAGACTGATCCACTTTTAGTCTGATCCAGACTCATTAGAGAAACCTCTTGTATATAACTCTTTACATGACACTGATGAGTTTGTCAAATTCAGTCACTTTTCCAGGAAGTTTCAGGACAGTCTGCCAAAAAAAAAAGATCTTCCTCTTTACACCATTATGAAGTAAACTCAGATGTTTTCACAGGATCAGTGAGAGGAGAAGAAAAGGATGAAGCAGATTCATAAAAGATCACAAAAAATCGACTTGACAAATTCATTCAAGAACATTTTAACAAATACTTCGAGTCAGTCCATTTTTTACTTGGTGCACAAACATAATAATAGTATGATAAAAAGTCATAGTATAGCATGATGAAAAAAAAAAAAGCCATAGTATATTACGGTTAACAAATGTCAATGTATAGTATAATAAAAGTTTCATCGTATAAAATGGAAAGTAAATAGTAAAGTATGAAAAAATGTCAGTAGAGTATGTTGAAAAATGTAATAGTATAGGATGTAAAAAATATCATAGAGAAGTATGTTGAAAAGTATGTTAAAGTTTGTAGGTGTGCTTCTCTTTTAATGGATTTTCAAAATAAAGGTTGGTCAAGGAATATGTCAAAATTTCAGCCGCCTAACACTGGAAATCTTCAGGTGTGATGATCATGGACATTAATAAGGCAAAAATAAAACAGAGAGTGTTATATAAGTGAATGAATTTTGACGTTAAATAGTTGAGTCCAGTCTAGTTGTGATTTAAAAACTGTTCCTGAAGCTCCCAGAACTTTAAATATCTTCATTTATTTTACTAATTTAGTTTCTGTTGTTGTGAATTGAGATGTTCAATTTCCCATCACTTTCTCTCCTTCAGTCACTGAGAGGTTTTTATATCTCTGTGTTTGTCTTCTGGGCTCAGGGACAGCAGTGTGTGTTTTAAAAATAGAGCGTTTGGACCTGTAGAGTCTGTGTTTGGATCATCTGGAGGCCAAACATCCAAACAAGGAGCATAAACATGATGTCAGCTGCCCCTTGTCTGCTCCATCTGCTGTGACTAATGCTGACACACACACACACACTCAGTAACCAGGCAGCAACAGCAGAGGGAGCTGCCATAAACAAAGTCTGAGTATGTGTGTGTGTGTGTTTACGTGTGAGTGTGTGTTTTCAGGACCTTGACTGGCTCACAGCTCGGCCTGAGTCCACCGGAGCAAAACATGTTTTTCCCCGCTGGTGTCATGCCTGCCTTGCTGTGCTTCGCCAAGGGTGGAGGGGCTGGGGGTATTTATAGGCTGATAATGAGCATGTGTCCTTCAAGACCACGTTGTCCACACTCAGCAGCCCTGAGAGAGCACGAGCGACACACTTAATCAAATGTAGGACGAGACTCCGTATGACTCCGTACAACAGAAACAGGCAAAGAGACTCCACAGAGGCTTCTGGAAAAACAAAATGAGTTTATTAAGACAACCAAAAAGGCCCTGAAAACTCAGGAACATATCAGAGACTTCGTTACGAAGCAGTCGTGGTGATTTTTCTTTACACTGAGAAGAAACATTAAAAAAAATATAACAACAAAGTGAACTCCAAAATGGAATTCCAAAAAGGTGAAAGCACCACAAAGTGTTGTCATGTGACGGCTGACCTTTCCCCCCAAAGCTTTACAAACGAAGTGTTACACATCACCCAAAGCCCTGTGGGATAAGGGCGGGTTTTCTCCACTTTCCCATGCCCCCACTCCTCCTCCACATGTTTGGTGACCGTGTTCCCCTTTGAAAAGAAAAATACTCAGAGGAGAAATGTGGAGCTGCCGAGAACTGAGGAGACGCGAGTTGTCCTGTTCCTCCCTCAGACCATTTCAGGTGAAGTTTCGAGGCCGAAACACTGAATACAATCAGCTTTTTTCGGACTCATGTTCTGGAGTTCATTGAGCGCAGAGGAAGTTAGAGGACAACCTGCCGAACAACCTCGCTTAAAATGAGAAAAAAAGAGGGGACATTTCCTTTTTCTTCTCCATACAGTGGCTCTTAAAACCCAGCATTAGATTGTAAACAAGATGGACTACTAGACCACCCAACCCCCACCGTAATGGTCTGGGAATGGCTGGCCAAGAGTGACCCCCCCCCAGAGCACATAAACATTTCCCAGGATGCAGTGGTAAATAAGAAATGAATAAGCTCACACTTCCTGCCACTATTCAGCGTGACTCAACCATCCGTTCACCTCAAAAGAAAAGTTATTATTCAAGAATCACAGGCACAGGCGTGTCCAAAGGGTTCGAACAGGGGTGGCCCAACTGGGGCACTGACTCATGCAGAAGTAACCTGAAGCAAACACACATATATATGCACAACTGAAAATAAGTATTTGTCCTTTTCTCACCACTAATCACACCCACTTTCACCCTTATTCACTCATTTACCCGAAAACAGTGAAGAAAAATGTTCTCCAAAAAGGACTGTTAAGATCAAATACTCAGGATAAGACAGTCAAAAAATGTGAGAGGCTTTGCAATGTCAACAGAGAGAGAAAATGAGCCAAAAAGTGAAAAGAAAATTATTTAAAACTGTCCACTGGGCAAAAATGAATAAATAATTAGCAATTTCATGCCAAAGCCAATTATTTTAAAAGTATTATTACAAAGATTGATTCTCTTTTGAATGAAATAAACACGCCTCTGATTGTTTCTCAGTTCAAAGTTCAAACAAAAAGCGGAATTTGTTTTATTCCACAGAGGAAACAGCCAATCATCATCTCGAATTTTATATTGACATCTACGAGGACCAATCACATTCCAGCGGGGGCCCGTGCCACCCCTGGTCACCCATCTGGACACACACCTGCCTGATTACGGGATTCCATCTTAACAGAAACACCCGGAATAATCCATATTCAGTTGATTTTCCGGTTTTTTTTCACCTCAGGACGAGAGTCAAAGCTTACACCGGGTGAAAATCTCCCTTTCTGCGGATGAAAAGGTTTTTAAGGGGCTCGAAGCTCCACTGCAGACCCCGACATTCAAACATAAACAACTGCTAGCTAGGCTAACTGCTAGCCGACACATGACAGCGTAACAAACGTTACAGACAAAAACTGATGATATTAGAAAAACAGAGCTACCAGTCTGGTGAATTTTTATCTAAACAATCCATGAGTACAGTCTCGATTCTGTGTCCGTCCGGCCGACTCGGCTCTCAGCAGGCCACGCTGTCCGCCGTTTTGGGGAAGTCTCCACAGTCCGCCGTCGCCGCGGAGAACTGCAGCCTCCTGACTGCCTCTTTAATCAGGTTCCCCGATAAAATTAACTCCTGGAGCAGACGGTGCGGGTCGTCGTCCTCCTCCACGGTGATCCTTCTTTTGTTCCACGGTCTGATTTGGTCCCAGTCCTGCTCGCTGCCGTTAGATCCGGGGATGTGATACGGGCTCGCCCTGCTGCTCCTCCCCCGGTGTCCTCGGTTCCGGAGCCGCATGCAGCAGCCGGTCCGTTTCTGCGCCGGAGCTCCTCCCGTCGTGATGGGCGCCGGTTTGACCCCCCCGGTGGCCGTGGTGCCGGTGAGTCCGTGCAGACAGGACACAGACACGGACACAGTCTTCTGGTGTCCCCCGCTGTTGTTATGGAGCTGCAGCGCCTCGCCGATTTTCGTCACCAGCGCGTCCACCTCCTTCGGATCGACGGTGACGGATTGTTCCAGAAAGATGTAGTTCTCTTTCCGACACGGCATGATGGTGATGACGGCTGTGGATGTTCGGTGTGTGTCTCGGTCGTTGTTGTTCGGTTCTTGTTCGGTTTTTGTGGGTTTGAATGAGAGCTGCTGCTGCCGGGATAGTCCTCGCGCTCTCCACGCCGCTCGGCAGAATCCGACAAGCCGAGTTGATTTGTAAACAATGGGTGACGCGACGTGGACCGTACCATTATATCAGCGAAGAGGAGGGGTCATTCAAACCAAAATAAATCTCTCGGCTGAACACGATGCATGAAATTCACCTCTATTTTAAAATCTCACAAAATATGCAATATGAGCACAATAAATCGACGTAAAATATACATTATATCGCTTTTTGGCGGTTGTTTCTTGGACATGTGACCCTCTGCCTTGCCCCCACCATGCGGCTCGGTTGGTCGACTCCCTGCAAATGGACATTACATAACTGGTAACTGTCTGCTGCTGTCTGTCCAGGCAGAACAAACAAACAAAAGCGTTTTTTACACGTCTCGAAAGCGTGCTGTTTTAATTCATGAGCATGAAAACCAAGATATGTAAATATATATGAGTAATTCCGTGCAAATTCACGGTTCAGATCAAGCCCAGTGTTACACCAAACTCTGTGACCTCCTTACATTGTGCAACCCATTTGAAATAATAATAATAATAATAATTATAACAATAATAATAATGATAATAACTTTTTTTGTATAGCACTTTTTAAGATAAAGTTTACAAAGTGCTTTGACATATAGTCACAAAGCACATGGAAAAGGACAAATAAAAAATAGGTAAGAAAAAAGTCAAATTGACATCATATCCTAAGTTATCTGATCAATTAATAGATAGACTGACATCTCCACTGTGTTATAATAATGTCAGCCCTTTAACAGCTGTTTAAAAAGGGGCACATTTGCACCAAAAATTTCATATTTTGCTACTAAGGAGAGCAGAATCGATCAGCCTTTCTGGACATTATTTGCAACTTTAATGTTTTACAATACATAAACCTCTTTTGGACATTTCTTTTAAAAAAAATTGTGGCTGTAGTGAAGGATGTGAAATCCAGCATATGCAACATGTTTAGTGAAAGAAGCAATAAGGATAAATTATTTGATTAAGGATAACAAATATTCCTGCAATCACAAGTCTCATTATCTCATAGCGCACATCTCAAGGTGTTTGATTTGCATATCATGCTGCTTTTCTTGCAGAAGAAAAAGGCTTTTAATCCGTCTGAATCTGTGGAATTTGATTGAAATTGTTTTATCTGGTTCATATCAGATTTTATCATGAGAAATTTCTGCATATTAAAAACACATGTGGGAATAAAACTCTATCTCTCTTTGGACATTAAAGAAAGTCTATAATAGAGTACAGGGTTGGTCTAAATAGATAAAGCAGTTGTCTGTGATGGTATCCATCGTGTGCACAGTGACAATAGGAGTGCAGGGCGGGTGTGTAACTGTGTGGGAGAACATGGTGTACATTTCTGTTTCTGAGAAACAGCAGCCCGGCTAAACCTGATGCTCCAGTCATAGAGAGAGCCCTCATGACCGTATAAGGAGCTACTATCACTGCCATCACGTGGTATGTGAGCCAATCAGAGGATTCAGCTGAGGTTTCCTGTGTGTTTTTCAATGGCAGGAGTGCAGTCATACTGGAATCCAGTTCAGAGTGATACTGAAGTGTGAAAGCAACATAAACAGACTTCCTGAAACATAAAACACGCTGCACTCAGACTGCAGGACCTGTAATAGTCAGAAGAAGCAGACACATGTTTTCCTGACTCATTCCACGTATTTACTACTCACACTCTACTATTTATACCAGGGGTACATCTATAAATATGATATGGTAAGCAGGGGTGTCCTTGGTATCTATTTTACGCCTGTCATCTGTATCTGTCCGGTAGTTAAGGTGCAAAAATAAACTTTATCCATAAATCAGACTTGGTTTTAACAGCATCTGAAGCACATGTTATCACAGAGCTTGAAAGGCAAAACAGAGCTGGTCTTACTGTATATTCATTTTTACACTCCTCTGTGCTGAGCATGCACATAGAGAGGATCTGTCAAACTTGACATTTAAATATATCGATATGAGAGAAGCTCTACCAGTATACAGACTTAATTAAAAGACCACAGACTGTATGAAACACAGACAATTGTGGGTTAACACCAGCCTTTGGTTCTAAAAATGTGTTTTAAATCACAAAAACTGATAGTGAAGCTGGTGGCGTACGCTGATGTTAGCGTTACATCCTTGTACACTGGAGTGTCTGCATCGCGCTGCAATACTTCACCTGAACACTAGTTGGCAGTGTGATGTATGTCGTTTTTCCAACTCTCTACAACATGCGATGCTTGATTGTGCAGAGGAAACCATGGCAACTGAATCTGAGTTTATTATGCCAGAGATAGGGCTGATAAATGTTGAGCAGCAGTTGATCACACTGCAGGTTTTACACAGAGGACAAGAGTGAAATGAACAGATGCTGAATCCTGATAGGTGATGCAAAAAGTTATGATGTTACCCAACGGACCAATCACATGGCCCGTGATCTATGTTGTGTAAATGCATAATTATATTATTAGGTAGGTGCCATAGACTATATAGAATGGACAGCGTCCGCCTCCTTGCTGGGTGAAGCCACTCTGAGAACAGCACCCTCTGGTGACAGGCTGCAGTATAGGTCATAAATCCCGCCCTCTTATGGAGCTGTGGACAAACTTTATAAATAAATGACACAGAATATAAATGCCCCCCCGGGTGTGATGTTGACATGTAGTTACCGTCAGACTGGTTTGTGCTCAAGTCCTCTTTTTTCAGATTCATTTTAAAAGTTATTAGGGGGTTTATGTTTTCTATGATTGACACCTGATACAGCCTTTGGCTGTACGAAGATTGCGTAGCTCACCTGGGGGATACGCTGTTTGAGCATCACCACAGCGACTCTCAGCAACTCTCCCGCCGAATGCATGTAACGTTACTGTGCAATGTTGGTTTCAGGAAGTGGAGAAAACCTACAGTGTACACTTGCGCACAGTTTCAACTCAAACCTTTAAGTAAAGCTTAAGTTACTTAAATAGGAATTAAAACGGGCAAAGAGGCGGAGCTGAGGGGGGCAGTTAGCTTCCTGTGAACTGGCTACAAGAGGCATCACCAGCCTATCAAGTAAACATACAGTATGTGTAACAAGTCTTTCTTCAAGTGCCATTAAACAATTAGCCTACTGTATGGTGTGTATAAGTGAGTGAACCATGAATCCCAAACCATTTTTTCAAGGTTTAATTTTGATTTAAAAGTCTTTCAAAGTGGGACCCATCGGGCTTCATGGACTTTTACAGCCAGCCTCTGGTGGACACCTTGGGAACTGCAGTTTTATGCACCACTACTTTGTTTTTTTCATTTCCTGAAGTTGCAGCTTGGGAAGACGTACACACAAGGGAGCAGGTTTGATTATGACATTGGTGGGGACACAAAATTGTCCTCCTGAAAGTTTATGCATGCACGCGCACACACATGCACGCACGCAAACCAACACAAACACACAAATGTAAATGTAAATAACACCACTGATATTAAAATCTGTTTAAGCTGATGTGACCCAGGCGCAATATGCCAAACCTGTTGAAAACAGATAACACACACTGTTTGTTTGCCTCCTGTCCAGTCCGACAAGCAGGTAACTTTTACAGGCAGATGTAGTGACAGCAGGGACAGCCAATCACATGTACATTAGCGAGAAACGGACAGCCAATCGAAGAGCGATATTTAGGTTAGAGGTGGAACTTCTAGCAGAGACCATCTGTTAACCCTTTGTGTGCCAAAATCATTGATAAAACACTGCATACAGCAGTTGTATTGAAAGGGACTACGCTGTAGCAGCTGATTATTGGTAGGGACACGTCCATGGTGTCCCTACTCAATTCTACGCCCTTGCGTACACATGCTGAATATTTGAGTTTTAAGTGTGACAGTTCAGAGGTATCTGTGCGACCTAAACAGTCTTTGTTTACTTTTTCCACGGTGAAGAGTTTAAACGAGTCAAGCATTTGACCACCATAATGAGGCAGTATGAGGTCATTTGTTAAAACACACGATTTCACATGAACATCACAAACTCATTTGAGAAATACAAGGTCCCACTTTGTCCACAGGGGGCGCCAGAATCAATGCAAACTGAAAATCACTCACAGGAGCTTTAAAATAAGGGTTTTCTAAATCTCACCTGCACAAAAAATTTATGTTATTGTTTTCAAATCTGTTGTTCTTTTAAATGTGCAAATAAATAAATAAATAAATAAATGTGTTCCTGTTTCTGTGTCCACACCCTGCACTTCTGTTTTCAGACTCACTACATTCCACAGTCTCACAGCTGAACAACAGAGACCATAATTGGCTGTTTATGTCAAGAAAGAGGGAACAAAAACCGTCACAAAGACCATGTACAGCAGAATACTGAGGGGACCCGCTACTTTAAACATCCCTCTTCCACAGCTGTAGTTTTTGTCGTTAAGCAGAGAAGTAGCTCCACAACAGGAGGAAGTGAGCTGGCAGAAAACTGGGTCACATACTTCCTTGCTCTTTCATGTTTTCCTGTACATGAGTCAGCGGCGGCGGTAAACAGCCCTGCAAATACAATTCCTGTTTATTTGCTTCAGCAGCTGCTCTCACACGTTCCCTGAAGCGACCTCAGCTGCGTGTTTGTGAGTGCGTGGGTGTGTGAGCGTGCACGTTTGTGTATGAGTGATCTCATCCTCGCTCTTTGTTTGTGTTTCTGCTGTAATCCTTCAGAGTGCCTGAGATAAACAAGACCATCAGCTGAACATAAGAGGAGATTAATCAAGCCTGCACATAAAAACACAGCAGGTCTGTTTGACCCTGTGAGGGACCTCAGGGGGGTCAGACTGTATTTATAGGTTCTGGACCTGGGAAGGACTCATGTGAAGGACTTGAGGTCTGTCTTTGGCCTCTTTCCTATATTCAGGCTCTCTGTCTGAAAACAGGCCGAT